AGGCAGAAGAGAATCTTCTGTAGCGAAAGACATTTCACTCAAAGAAACAGAAACGGAAGATAAAGTACCTGTAAGACGTAGCATGAGACGTGCTGCTTCTGTGCAGAAAGAACTATCAGAATTGACGAAGCCATTGGCTAGAAGCAGTCGGACTCTATCATCGTCCAATTTAGTAACTACACAAGAGGGTGTGAAAAAGCAAGTGAAAAATAAAGATTCAACAGTAAAAAACTTGTCAGACGAAAGAAAGTCAAATGTAACTTCATCAAAGTCAGCAAAAGAGTCAAAGTTGAAGGAAACAGAGGCGGAAGAAGTGAGTACTGTAAAATCAGCGAGGAGACGTAGCAGTTCTGTGCCTAAAGAAATAGAGGACAAGGTGAGAAGTCGAAGATCTAGCAGCGTAGCGAAAGAAACTATTCCAGAGGATGGTGAACTCTCATTAGAAACCATGAAAGGAAGACATATGGTGCTACCAGCTGTGGGCAGTCCAGCAGCAAACACGCGTAGTCGGAGATCATCGATACAGTCAATACCAGAAGAACTCGAGGAGATTTTGAGTGTGCCATCAAAGGAAAGGATCTCTGCTGCGAGTAACAGGAAACAATCTGCACAGAATACTCGACAGAGAAGAGCTTCCAGTGTTGAGCTTTCGCAAGCTGAAACGCAGAGGAGAACCAGAAGTGCTCGCGGTAAAAGTGTCCTCGAAGAGACAATAGTGGAAGAGGAAGCAGTTGAAATGGAAGATCAAGTAAATTCAAATGTTTCTAAGACTAAGAAAATGCCTGCAAGAAGAAAACGTACTGCTTCAGGGACTTCAGTTCCCCAAGAAACGAGCGAAGACACCTCAAAATCAAGGAAAGGTAGAAAAGGGAACAACCTGAAGCAAAACATTACCGATGAATTTTCATTCTCACAGCCAGAGAAGGGAGATGCTCCACCATTGGATCAGAAAGGTAATAGCAGTGATTTTTGTTCTCAGTTCTGTATACATTTTGAAATCTTTCAGCTATGGGTGAAGTGCCGAATTACGTGTTTTCACCTCCTCATACTAGGTCGAAGGCTACCACTTCCTCTGAAGGATAGAGGAACAACGCATTGTACAGAAAATTTCACAGGTTGAAAGAATGGGTAAATCATTGTAGAATGAACTTTGTACTGCCTAAAAGATCAAAGAGTATAGCGAATTAAATGCAATTGTTGAAATTTCTTTTTTAGCTTAAGATCCAAAGGATATGGCTTACACCCAAAACTTCAGTTCGTATCAACCTTTTTAACTTGTCGTTTTCTTGAACCAACAGTTCTTAAATGACGTGTACAGCAGTAACCATTATAACAATGCCCTTTAAATGATTTCGTTGTCAATAGAAAGAGAGAAATTTCCAAAGTGGTTAAAAAAAATTGTTTTTTGTTAGCGTATAATCAATAAGTCCCTTATTTTAATTAGTTTTTTTCACCAATGATGAATTTCCTATCAATGTCGAAACGTGTAAACAGTTGTACAGAAAGAAGATTTTGTTGAACCATATTTTGAGAACATTGAATAGCACAGTGTTTTCAAAGTGTATCATTAGAGCATAAGGTTGATTATTTTCATAGACAATTCGCTAAATATACTTGTTACATTGATATCATTCTTTTCTTAACGATAACTTCATGGTATAATATATATATTCTATAAGGTTCTGAATGAAAATGTGTATCATAACTTTGTAAATAATTTATTGATATACTCGTGTATAGCTGTATTCATACAATAAATGTAAAAAAAGAATTAATGCATATATCTATCGAATAAATTTCCAGTCACCATAAATAATAAGTCGTTTAAATTCTAAAGCAGTATTAAATAATACTGCAAACAAACTGAACGTGCATACGTTTGTGAGTATAATTCATATATAGGTTAAGACAGACTATATTTAAATTTATTCTCAAACTTACAATTTCCAGCTAAAGCAAAATCTTGTAAAGATTATCAATATATGCGCACAGTTCTCTACAACTTTGAACTGTAACAGTTTATTAAAAAATATTTATTCTACGTGTTAAGCAGCATATTAAAGCACGTATTTGTAACTTCACATTTCTCTCAAAATGGATTTTTTCTCTTGGTAATACTTAACTTCATCGTCTGATACAAACTGAACGTTACTAACGTTATCTTTGGCAGTAAATTATTCTTTGATCTGTACCTTAAATATTTAGAAAAAAAGCATTTCCTTCTAAAAAGCAAGCATAATTTTTATGTACAATAGATCTATAATAAATTTTTTTTAGAATGCAAAATATAAAGTCTGCGTCAACTAAATTATTTCATTTTGTATTTAGCCTAAACGGTCAATCTTTGTACATTGTTTGCTTATTTTATTGTATCCTTAATTCTGATTGTCTAATCTCCTATTTAGTTTCTCATAAAAATCTATACAATATCTTAGTACAAGTATTATCGTACTTGAATTTGATATGAACTGTTTGTAGCAAAAGACAGATCTTGTTCAAGATTTATAGATCTTCCTTGCACTATATTCTTCCAAAAGGCACGTTCGCACTTATGCTATACAAAGGATTATTATTTTTTACAGGACATGAAAAAGAGTTACTGTCTCAAGAAGAAAATCAGAATAATTATGAATTTGTTCGCAAAGTAATTCTTAATTTCTAAATAACTTATACTACTTCTTCATGGCAACAAAAAAAAAAACTTTCTTCAGTGAAAAGCACGTCTCAGTAAATGAAACTGAACGCTTTATGTAAGTTTTTTTAATTTCAGCATCTATCAACCTTCAACTTTCAGAGCCTATCAATCTTCATTGTCTAGCTTATAATGCTTGATTTGAGGACACAGACAAGGCTTTTGATATTAACGAAATGTTCTAGAAGTATTAGAAAATCCTTTTCTAAGATATAAACTCTGAAAAGTTAAAGTGTTATGGATTATCTATTGTTGTTTGCAACCATCCTTAACTCTACGCTTGTGTTTCTCCTCATGACCTTGGGACGGAGACTGAATTTGATTTCGTCGTTGTCCTTGTATGGGCATATAGCAAGGAGCATCCTCGTTCATAAGCTCTTGTGGTGGCGTGGGTAAAGCATACGTGGGACTAACTGTGCTGCTTGAACTACTAGAAGTATGGCGATGTGTTCCGTTGTATGTAGGATCAATAATTGCAGCTACATTCGGTACTTCTCGCACAGTTTCAACAGGATCATCTAGAGTTTGTATTTCCTCAGGATTAGGATACTGCTGGCAATTTAGTGTATACGGCATTCTGCTCTTACTCGGTGTACTTTTCAAATCCAGTTTGTCTGGTCTCTGTGGCTTCTCTGTTAGATTTTGTTCCTCTAGTTTTTGAAGCTGTCGTTCTAACTTTCTTTGCCTTGCTCTCTCTCTTGCCTTCCTGACCTTTGCACGTTCTTTTTCCTGAAGCATGCGCGCCAGTTCAGCATCTTGTGCTTCCATTGCTATCTTTTGATCCTGCAAAAACTGCTCGTCAACAGGCCCTTCTGGATTGTCCGTGGCATTTTCTTCCTCCAGCTGCTGCAACTTTCTTGCCAATTCCTTTATTCAACAGATTAGCTTCAATACATGAACATACAGATACATAAGGGATGTTTTAGAAATACCTCGTCTTTCTCTTCTTGAATGTGTCGTTTAATTTCAAGCTGTGCTGCCTCGTCGTCCAATCTTAACTGCAATCTCATCCGTTCCTGTAACTCCCGTTCTTTCAATTTCTCTTCCCGTTCTAAAGAGAGCGCAACCTGTTTTGCTATCAGCGCGTCTCGTTCCTCCCTAAGGAGTGAACAATTTCTATTTAAATATTTTTTTCAGAAACTTGAAACTGACAAGAATTTTACAGAATATATCTCTTTAATACTGACTGTTGTTGAACGTAGCTCTGGTACTTTAATGTTTCCAACTCCTGCTCAACACGTGCCCTTGGTAAATCCTCCCTAACTTGAGCATTACGAACTTTGTTGCCAGTGTAGTGTTCTCTGACTACAAATTATAATAACAAAGACAATCGATTAAAATACAGCCAATCGCGTAGTAGAAGAATATAACATCTGAAATTCTTACTTTCCTCATCCTGAAGTCGATAGGCGAGGGCTCCGTCTTCGTGCACTAGCCATTCTCGACAAACTATTAACAAAAAGTTTGCATTGGAAATGCTCAGTTTAATCAGTGACCATAATTGAAAATGACAGGAGAAATGTAAAAAAAAAAGACAGATGTACCTTCGTTCACTCGACCAGCTTTGGGCAGCGTATCAGAGCTCAGCACAGATTTTGCCATTTTTCATTACTTGCTATTCTTATTGCTGAGAAATTCTCGACTTGAACGAGTGTCTTGTTTACAACCACCTTACGGAAGACGTACGTCGTTTTCTCTCCATCTTGAATAGCAGTGAATGGCAGTGAATAGGCAATGCACGAGTGGTGGTAGTGTCTTTTCAAACATAGTACATTTCTCCTTTCATGGTGTGAGTAGAAACGTTCTCACGCGTGTAGGAAGTATGTCAGTGCATATGTATATTCACATGTTACTGCAGTTTCTCAATACATATTACATCTAATAAACAATGTAATATTTGTAAATGGTTTCATTTATTGCTTTCTATTCTTTGCAGGTGTAAGGTGAATTAGATGATTTTTTTAGTAAAAAGGGAGGAATAGGGTAAATATAAAATGGTAGTACAATAGACCTTTTCATGATCCTCAAAATAGGACTCTTTTGGCGAAGAGATATAATCTCATTGCTGTTAGACTCATTGTTTTTATCGAAGCCAAATATATCTTTGTTTATACTTTTACAATTATCTTGAATAAGAATCACATAGTAGTGCAAAATGGGAATTAGTGATACTCGTCATCTAGCGGTAACAGTACGAATTAGTTTCACTACAAACTTGGGCAGTTTCTCACCGATGGCGCCACTGAGCTATAGTATGTGGTGGACGCACTCTTCATCGTCGATAAGAAGATTTATGAAGATCATCGATAAAGAAGAACTAACTGTTAACTCGATGTTATTCATTTGATTGTCTTTTGTGAAACATAATTTAATTTTGTTTGTCTTTCAAATATTTTAACACACTTTCTGTCAATTCATTAAGCAAGAGAGATCATTTAAAATAAATACCAGAAATTTGTATTCAATCAAAACTTTTATTTAGTCTACATTAAAATATAATATGGGTAAACCTTCCCCATAAGTAATAGATACATATATTTATGCTCAATTGCTCAAATACTCACTGAAAAGTATATTGTTCATTTTCCAAAAGTAGAAAGCATCAAAAACATTGTCGATCGAACAATCACGCGGTAACAGTAATTAAAATGTTACTCTTGAATTACTATGTGAACTGTCTTCATAAAACCTATACAAGCGAGGTTAGAAAATCAATCATCGAAGAAGTATAATAGCAATGGAGAATCATTTAAACATTATATTATATATTGTGTCGAGAAAACCAAATAAACAGTAAGAAAATGCTGTGCTACGATGGAAAACTCAGTTTATATTGTTTCACTGTGGCTAGTTTTGTCGCGATTCTACCAGAAGTGCTTTTGAGGTTAGAATTCGACGTACCCGGTGTTTATTTCAGTAATATATGGTTAACGCATCTCTTCCAATATGGAGTTCTAAACTTTCTGCTATTTTTTGCTTTTCGTGGGGTTTCTTACCAGGTAAATTGACCCCAGTAACAATTAATTAATTAATCCTTCGCACTTTAATTATAGACTAGATAGATATGTTGACAGTCAACTTGGAGTCATTTTACATTTCTCAATTACGCAATGTACCAATACGCAAAGGATTAATAATTAGTTCCTTTTATTAAAAATATCATACTATACATGATAATAATACTTGCATTTACTCCAGGTTTCTGTGAGAGCAGTTTTCATAGGTTACGCCTTTGGAATTGGAATTTTAGTGTCACTCGTTGCACCTCCTTCGTGGCAAATGTTCGGTGTATACATTACCATACTGGCTATCTTCCATTACTCTGAATTTTTGAGCATAGCATGGATAAACCCATCGACTCTTTCCATTGACAGCTTTATTCTGAATCACAGTGTAGCTTATGGAGTGGCAGCATGCTCCAGTTGGATAGAGTTCATTGTTGAGAGACAATACTTTCCATTGATGAAACAGGCTTCGTCTATATCGTATTTTGGATTAATATTGTGCATTTGCGGAGAAATTTTGAGAAAATTAGCTATGTTTACGGCAAAGCACAATTTTAATCATATTGTACAAAGCGAAAAAATGGACAATCATGAACTGATTACTTATGGAGTCTACAGACTTTGTAGGCACCCCAGTTATGTAGGTTGGTTTTATTGGTCTATAGGAACACAGGTAATGATTTTTTGTGCTGAAAAATCTTACATGGGATCAGGGAAAAGTCAAGTAATTCTTATGTATTTTTGTTCATAGCTGATACTTCAGAATCCATTTTGCCTTCTGGCATACACTGTGGTGTCTTGGAAATTCTTCCATGATCGCATTTTAATTGAAGAGATTACTTTGCTTAATTTCTTTGGACAGGACTATATACAGTATCAGAAACAAGTGGGCACAGGACTGCCTTTCATATCTGGTTACAAAGTTAATTTATAGCAGGCAATCTCTGTTTAAAAATATGTGTGAATTAAATGTAGGCTTCTTAACAAAATTATATTTATTGTCTCATTTCTTTTCGAAGAATTATTTAAATAACAATACACTACACTTTCGTGTGATGGTAGATACTTTCGTTTGATAATTATACATATACATATCCTTTTATACTTATATATGGAACGTATTTATGATAGTGAATACATGTTTTACATACTGCATTATGGCATAATGCTGTGGCTGTTTGCGTTGGCATTCAAAAAGCATTCATTCAGTGTCAAATAAATAAGAAGGCGCTAGATTTAGGTTACTTACAGCTGCATCTTACTAATTTCTGTACATGATCATTTACAGTGTTTTGATAAGGTTTTAATATATTTTTAAAGACTGTACGCATTGTTGGCTGTTAGTGTTGCCATAACATGATTTGTAAAAACATTTCGTGGCCGATTTACTTAACCTTTTACGGAATTAGAACAGGACTTGTTAGTGTCACGCGTGTGCATTGCACTTGAGTCTTCTTTATTTAGTGATCACATGGTAAACAAATGTCACATTGTCTGTTATATAAATCTAAAAAACACACTTGGCAGGTAGATGTATTAATTCAAAATAATTTTATACGTACCAGTTTGCGGTAGTACTGTATTATATCAATGTAGTGTTCTGTAAACAATAAATGATAACAATCTGGGAACCTCATTCAGATATTCTGCACCGTTGCCTATTTTGCTTTACGTCATACAAATATCGATAGCGCACTGTCCTATTTAAGAAACAGTGTATGTAGAATGTATGAAACACAAACATTGCAAGATAAATTGCAATTAAGATATTTAAGGTTTTCACGGCCCGGTTATTTTTCATGGTTGATATTAATTAAGACTTCTCAGCATCACAATAAGCTTGTTCCACTTTACTTGTTTCTTAATTTTTCCATTGAATGTGTTTTCATGGGGGTCTTACTTTGAAATTAAGAATCATCAACCAGAAGGGACAGACTAAATCTTACCCAAAGGAATGGCTTACACCCGGAAGCCTTGGTTAGTATCAACCATACTTGCGATTATTTACATAACTGATACAAATTACATTATAACTAGCAACGCATTTTACTAGCACCGATGATCCTAACTATACAAATATTTTGTAAGTAACTTTCTTTTGATATCACATAAATGGAGTTTGAACTGTTTCGATAAGAAAAGTGTGTATGCTTACAAGGGAATATATCCAATTGTCACACGCCGATTTTCAGAAAATTTATGTGGAAGGTAGTTCTCAAAAAAATATTTGACACGTATTTTTTTTTATCGGCAATCGTCAATATCAAAGGAGTGAAAACAGCTCCTAAAGTTGGGGGTTAATACCACGTTCTTTTAAATATCTTGAAAACTAGAGAAGCTAGTTAAATAATAGCTAAATAATTTATTGGATTTTCCATTGATGGTAATAGTAGTAGTAGTAGTAGTAGTAGTAGTAGTAGTATAGTAGTACATAGAACCATAGTAACTCTCAACGATCACCCTTGTCACGATTCGTTGACAACTCGTTAATAACAAGTAAAATCGTAACGAAAACGGTCCTTGTATGTTGCCAAGGATCCTAATTACCTTCCACG